ATTCTTAGCAGGGAGAGGGAAACAAATAAGTAACAAATAAAAACTGTTAGAATTGCCCTGTGGGGTAGAGAGTCTCCGAATCACTTAAATCAATACTGATAATAAACCAAAGCTATTTTCTCAGCAGTCTATTAGCTTGATATTGGATCTGTTAGTAGTCTTTCATGAGGTCCACAGCAAGCTCCCCTGACATGTTGGGCAAAGGGAAACATTATTAATTCATAGAGATACTTCCTTTACTGGACAAAGAGAATGGAACAGATAGAAGATAAGGCAGATCACTGCTTACTGCAACACTACAGTTTAGCTAAAGCTAGTTAAGAGTTTAAAGAGTCAGTGCAACAAAATTATAAAAAAAAAAAGTATTTCTCTCTCCATCTCCTTTTTTCTACTTTAAATCAATAGCAATTTAAAGCACAATACAACAGTTATATCATCTTAAAATTACAATATCAAACAATAATAATGGGCTTGCTACTCAATGATAACATTTTAACCTTTGTGGAATAAATACTGTTTTATAAAAGACACCATAGGCTAATAAGAATAAACCATATTAGTAATTATTTTTTAGAAGATATATACATACCTGCCGATAGTATTTGTCATAGATGGGATTTCCACTGGAGAGCTGCTGAGACAGGAAAAAAACATTACAAAATGCAAATTTAAGTTTACAAACTGAATCCAAACAGCGTCACCTTTCACCACACTTATAAGGACCTTTCAAAACTGTAACAACCCGACCTGTGCCTGCTCATGTGGCCTCTTTTAGGTTTCTGCGTGGATCTTATCAAATCCCTAAAGAATTACCTTTAAAAGAGAATAAACTTATACTTTAAAATGCTTTCTTCAGATTCAGTTTACAAGCTCAAGTGGTAAACAAGTGCTTGTTGGCTACAGTAAGTGTGCCATCCACTGAGCCAAGGCAGCTGTCAAAAAAAGACTGATCCAATACAGATGGAGGACGCAGACACACAGACTACAACCAATATGTTCAAATTCAGCATTAGTTTTCATCATCATGCCCATACACATTTCTGTCACCAAAATGGCTGAACTGTTTGTCGATGGCTCAAAACATCTGACAGGGAAACAATGAACACAGTGACTTTGATCACTGCTCAGACAAAAGGAACAAACGCATGTAATTTAGTTCACTGTGCCGAAGAACTACTCCATAAGACCTGTTTTACCATGAAAGACGACACGGTGGTCGTCAACATATATTGTTTAAGATGGCTTAACTAAAAGTAGCATGAGGCAACGTGACAACTCCAGACATCACAGTATGCTACACGTCAGATTTGGGCTGCAACTAATAATTATTTTCTTTTTTCAAATAAACTTCTATTATTTTTTTGATTAACAGACTAATAATTTTGTTCATAATTGTTGTGAAAAGTTTCCACGTTCATGTTGAGGTGTCCAACACTGCAAAACATTCCAAAACCCAGATATATTTAGTTTACAATGACACCAGTAAATGTTGGTATTTTTGCTTGATAAATAACTTAAACCATTGATTACCAAAGTTGTCTGCAATTAATTCTCTCAATTAATCGTCTCAGCACTAGCTAAGTAATTTCAATTTGAGAAGCACTTCTTCTGTGTGCTTCCTGGCAAACCGTGGATATTTTAGAGAAACACAGTATGTGTCTTAGGCCATACATTGAAATTCTATGAGTCACAATGAAACATAAGGTTTCTGCTGAATTGCACGCAGCGACAGTCGTGACTTGTGAGCTGTCTGACCTCAGGATATAGGCCGCACTTCTTAAGGCTACTGATAGTCAGCTTTAGATAGTTAAAGCAGGGCGTCACTCCACAGACAACAACTAATTTAACCTTCTGTCATATCCTCCCTAAACACCCTCCTTTCCTCTGTTAATACAATTGTCCGCTGCTGGGCTGAACAGGAAAAGAATCAGCATTCCCTTCTCCATATAGCTGAAACTGACAATTGGTTGCGTGTGCTTTTAACTCGACAGGTGCAGTGCAGGAGGAAAGGAGTGAACAGTAATTGTCTGAACTGTGTGAATCAACTAGGGAGTGGCTATTCAACCAGTGGGTAAAGCTGTCGTAATGCTCAAGCAATATCAATCCATAACGTGAAACAAAAGCAAGAGTACAGCAGAGACCTGTTAAAATGTCTTGTTACAGAGTTGCACACGTAGCTCGGACACAGAGGAAGACTCACAAGTAAACCACAGCCTGCGATCAGCATAGTTATCTGTCAGCTTTTTCAACTGCCAATTTACAGCGAGATAGCTGTTCATACACACTTATCTGTCTCTGGCCAATGCAACTTATTTCTGTGAAACACAATAGTGTGCCTGGAACTGATGGTGGCTGTAACACTGTGGTCATTGTACTGGTGACATTTTAATTGAACACTGAAAAAACACCACTCAATCATTCCCCAGCCAGCCCATACAAAACTGCAGCAGATAGCAAGATACATTACAGTGCTGGAGTCGACGGGCCAGTCTAGTTTGTTCTAGTCATTTCAAATCCCCTGATGCACCCATGGCAATAACGCACGTTAATGTCACCAACAACACTGAGGAGAAAGTCAGTTTTAGGATTAATGAGTGGTAAAACTAAACACATGTCACCGACAGACAGATCAATGAAGTCTCACAACACAAAGAGATCAACACAGGTTTTTAAAACTAATCTGTGAGGGTTAATGATGGTCACAGACAGCTCCTGTCTGTTGTTAGTGGCAACAGTGGCTCAGGTAACAAGTCTAGGACTGTATTATCAGACATGGCTGCTACCTGCTAAATAACTTATTTAGTATGCAAACAAATACATTTCCACACATATTGCAGTGTTTAAATTTAGCGAGCAGCAGACTGACATTGTGTGACAGCAGTGCTGGCTGGTGTCTGCTTGAGCTCACTTCCTCTTACTGGTTACAAAACAACTGACAACACTATTTTGAGTTTTTCTTTTAACATTATGGACACAAAACAACCAGAAAAGCTAACAGGCTAACACTGCCCACTCTTTAGAAAGGTCACAAAACAACTAACCCACTCAGTGAAAGCATGTTTACTAGTGATAGCAATAAGAAACAGGTTGGTTATTCAGTCTGACCATATAGCAAGCTACATCAGCAGCAAAGGGGAAATCCCAACATAACATTATAATGTCCGTAACTTGCTTCATTTGTAGCGGAAAACAATGTCAGCAGAAGCTCTACTAGTTAGCAAAAACATGACAGTAAAGCCACAACAGAGCCACACATGAGTATCTCGCATTAACATCTCTTTGGCCAGGACCAACTAGCCTGCAGCAAAACGTGATATAATAATATATACCCTCCCAACACCGAAACGAAGCTTGGTAACGTTACACGGATTAAGTTTTAATAAAGCGGCTGTAATTAGAAACAGACCCGACACTAAACACACTAACTAGCTCTTAGCTAACAGGCTAGCTAGCTAGCTACGCCCTTACGCAGTCCCCAAAGAGATTAGGCAGAAACTTTTCCCAGTCACAGCAGGGCTAAACTTCCAAAAAGAGGGACGAGGGTCGAGGTAAGCTCGTCTTTCTGTCTGCCCGGTTTCACTAACACTGCCGAAATGTCTCCGAGCAGCACAGACAGAGGCCGTGAGACGTTTGCTGTCGTTATATTTGAGTTGTAAGACAGTGTTACCTGAGTAAGAGACAGAGTGGCAGCCATAGTGTTTCTGTTTCCCACTGCTTTCATTCTGCGCTGCTGCCAGACACAGACAGAGGCCGCTGGAAAACCTGGCACTGGACCTCAGAGACAAATCAGATCAAACACACCACTGCAGACTTTATTCATACACATTATCATCTGCTGTCCCGTCAGCCGGGAACAACACCGGGGCCAGAAATAACATGTGTTTATAAAGAAACAGAGTGGTTTGAGCAAAGAGTTTAAGAAAAGACCGAGGTTATGAGCCCAGGAGTGGGTGGGAGGGTACGCTGGGGGGCAGTGTATCCTCCCACCAGTCCTTCCTTTTATTAATCATTTATATTTATCATGTTTTATTTTCACAACATGAAGGTTTGTGCAAATCAAAGATATGTTTTCATTATAGGTAACTTTTACACTCACAAGTTGCTCAAAGCTTAAATACTTTATTTATAAATTACTTGAAGATTTTGTTTAAATCCTTAAGACAAGTGGAAAAGAGAGACATAAACCCCCTTTAAGTTGATTTTATTTAATCTATATTCTGTTTTCCTGTATTTTCTGTTAATATATGCTGCTTGGATGGATTCATTAATTAAACATCCACTGATGATGCCTGTTTGTTACTTGAAGAAGCTTAATAAAGTTACCACAATCTATCTGTATATCTAACTATTGGACACACAGTTGTCAAATTTAATTTAAATATGAGTGCAGAGATAGTGAACAATATCTACCATGTGTATGTCTTTAATTGTAGGAAGTAGGTTCTCCCAGGTTGACCCAAAGTCCAAAAAAACTATCATTAATAACACCAATGGCCTACAAAAAAGGAAAAATACTCGATAATAAGCAAAAGTCCTGTATTCAAATACTTACTAAACAGTACACAAGTACGCTAAAGGTCCTTTTCACAACGTTTACTATTATACGATTATTACTACCATTTGGTAGAGCTAATTTTAACTTCTCACATACTGTTTGATTGTTTATATCACATATACACAATTTCATCAGATCATGTGTTGTATGTGAAATCTGAAAGTAACTAGTAACTAATAGTCATCTGCATAGATAAATGCAGTGAAGTAAAAAACTACAACATATCCCTCAGAAATATTATGGATATAAGTATAAAGTATCATAACATTAAAATACACAAGTATAAGTCCATGTCCAAGTCCAGCACGGCTATAAACTAACAATTAAATCAGATGAATGAACAAGAAAACAAGTAATGCTTCTAGAAAAACACTCTACAGGTCTGTGTAATCCATTAAATTAAATAACTTTAAATATAACAACACAAAACTGAAGAGAACGTGTGTTTGTTTTCTTCTGGTTGTTTTATTGGACAGATCACCTGTCTTTGTTTTGTTTTTTTACACAGCAACATGAAAATCGTCCCGCTTCAATTACTACCATTAGTACAAAATGTGTCTTTTACAAAAGGATCATCTCTCAGACTGTTGGGGACAGTGTGTTGGGTTACAGCAGTGCAGAGATATTAGCATCATAAATGAGGAAACTGGTTGTGTACGCCAACTACGAGTAAACCTAAAGTGAACACGTACCAAATGAAAGGAAGCTTTCCTGCTACTGGAGTGCTCTTTAATGTACATCTGAATTTGAGCACAGTTTATTTAGACACAGAAAGACTACAGTATGTGCATTGAAGTGAAAAAGTGTTAACTATACAGTACAAAACTATGCAAGGGATTTAATCTTAGAGCACCCCAAAATACCATCCTATGGACGACGGCTTTATTGTCAAATATAGTCAATCCTGATGCACTCTTGTCCCCATGCTGTTGACCCTCGTTTGAATCAGCGGTTTAATTAAGAGCAGGCGAGATAACCTGCATGATGATGCCCGACCCTGTCAAATCCTTTGAGATTGACGTAGCTTTATAATGGGACCGCGAGGGGATCTTGAGACAAAGTGATATGACTTGACTGCAAAAGATTAACAAAAAAAAAACCTCAAATAACAAAAATGTGACACAGATTAATAAGACAAACATGAGGTAAACAAAACATTTTCATTGTATCATCCACAAACCAAACATAGCTTTTTTTTTTCATGTCACCACAACATTATACTTCATAAAAACCCAGATTTTTGCTGAACGCAAATGACAATTTATATATTTCTGTTGGGTATAAACTGCGAAACGATTTAATTTGATTTTCTCCTGTCTTGACATTCGTTATGACATCTTCATTTTTTTCCTATTACTATTCCTCATTTAATAATAATAATAATAATAGTTGTAGTAGTAGTAGTAGTAGTAGTAGCACATGGAAACAGACCAATAATTGCCCCTTTTCACCTACTCCCTTGCTTTGTAAACAAACAAAGAAACGAAAACCCCCATCCCACCCAACCCCCAACCCAGGGTGTCAGTTATGAGGGTCTATCATCTCAGTCTCCAGCCTCGTTCCAATGGCTCATTGACACAGACAGTCTGGTTATTTTCTGAGCAGTTCCTGCAAGGAGTTTATAACTCATCCTTGAGTTTAGAGTCTGTGCCTTCATCGTCCTCTTCTTCCTCCTCCTGCTCTTCCCCCTCATCCTCTTCTTCATCTTCCTCCTCCTCCTCCTCCTCATCCTTCTCTTCCTCCTCATCTTCCTCCTTTGCCTCTTCTCTCCTCTGCTTGTCCTCCTCCTCGCGTTTCTTTCTCTCCTCCTCCTCTTGGCTTTCCTTCATCTTCTTCTCTGCATCCTAGAGTGGGTGCGCACGGTAGACCACAAATTAAAAAGTGATAAATGTATAATTCCTCATGTAAACCCCCCAAAAATACTCAAACAGTAAAGATAAAAGTTTGGGGCTGACCTTAGTTTTACCCCATGTGTCGTTGCCCACTTCCTCTGCCAGGTTTGGGTCATTGGTGATCAGGAAGTTATCGAAGACAGTGCCAGACTTGACCTACATCAAAAAGAAGTTAACAGTCATTTAACTCTCAGGTGCTTCATGGAAACAAATCCAGGCATCCATCCATCAATCCAAAAAAAAAAGACACACTCAGTTTCTTTTCATTTGAAATTTTGGACCAACTGAAAAAACTAAGCTGTGCATCAACTAGAAACACACATAAATATAAAACTCTAGTGGCTCTAACTGAAAGACTGCAAGTAAAATGTTCCTCTCCCTGAATGGATATAATTAAAGTGCAAGTCATATGCTAGTTTGTCAGTCTCTATTAATCAGTCAGTGAGACTCTTACCTGCCACAAGTCGAGTCCAATCACACCAATGCTGTCGTATTTATAGATCTCAGAATCGGCTGTGTACTCCGGGTTGTCAATCTCAGGGTGGATCCACTTGCCTTTGTAGGCAGGATTGTTGATCTCTCTGGGCTTCCACTCACCCTATTGACAGCAAACAAACACAGAAAGTCAGGCAGTGTGGTTATTGTCAGAAGAATGTGTCAAAGTTAATAAAAATGACAGAAACATGCTCCCCAATTGTATTTTATGATGACACAGTATATATTTTTAGAACAACTATGCTTCAACCTTTACTTGAGAACAGACTCCCTTCGTCACCCTTTAACTTTGACAGATATATTGTTGCTTAAATGTAATTTTCAGTGTGCACTATGTGGAAATCTTTGAGGGGACTATATGGGACATACATCTTATACTGAGATATTAGAAACTCAAATAAAATAGTGTTAATATAGCTTTGCTAGAAGTAATGTCAAGACATACTGCGAGCCAGTGAAATCATAACACAAACGTGAAGATTCAAATCGTTAAGATGAAAAATGAATCGTGATACTCTTTTTAAACAGCAGAGTGCGCCATCTACTTTTGACTTTGCTTGTTTGACGTCCTGTGTCATTCATGTCATTGCTCTGCACAGTTTATACCCTACCTCAGAAATATAGAAGGATTTTGATTAAGAAAATACATTTTGTAGATTTTATGTCTGATAAATAAACAAATCTTTATTACGTGTTGTAAAATCAAATCGTAAGTTGAACGTATTCATCCCTATTTACCAGGTAGTGAGTAGGGAGTTAGTTCAGACATGGCAATAGTGGAAGCTATTGTCTCAAAATTGTACATTAAGTGCTGTAATTATTTGACGTTTACCTTGTAATCAGGGTTAGTGACCATAGGCGGCTCCCACTCTCCGTCCATCTCGTCATCCCAGTCATCAGGCTTCTTAGCATCAGGATCTGGGATGTTCTCGGACTTGTCCCAGTCCTACCAAAGAGATACAGCAAAAGACAAAATAAGCTAAACTTAACTAAAGGGAAAATTAAAACTACGGACAAACAGATTTCTATATTGGGTCAAGCAGACTGACCTCTGGTTTCTTATCGTCGGGGTCAGGAATCTTCTCCCTGTCATCCCAGTCTTCTGGCTTTTTGGCTTCGGGGTCCTTAATTTTTTTGGGAGGCAGGAAGTCCCAGTCATCCTCCAGACTGCCAGACTCAACCTTCTTATTGTCGATCTTGACCTCGTAAGTGTTGTCAGGGTTGACAATCAGTGTGTACAGGTGAGTGTACTCATCATCCTGCAAGGTATAAAAGGATTGTTGGCAGTCGTTCGACTCACAACTGATTTACATGTAATCTGTTTATAATGCAAAACACTTTCAACATGTCCTTGCTAATTTGGTTTTATGCTCAGGAGGACAAGAGCAATGTTACAAAATGCTAATAAAATCAATATAGAATTAGAAAACACTTCCACCATTTCCCTGAGTAAATATAAAAACAAGAACCATTTACTGATGTCTCACCTTGCATCTGATGTCCTTGTTAATCAGATGGTTCTTGCCTTTGTAGTTAAAGATGACATGAACCTTCTTTGTGCCGGGCCCACAAATATCAGGACCTGAACAAGCAAACAAATGAGTAAAAATGTGGAATCCGGAAAAAAATAAATAAATACAACCAGACAAAATTTGGGTGGTGAATCACTCAAAGTGACTCTGGTCTTACAGATATCGAATATCAGAGACAGAGTCCTGAAACTGTCCACACTCACCAAACATGATGTTGTAGACGGAGTCTCCATGCATGTCCTCCTGGTTGAGGCTGGAGGGGAACAGTTTAATGTAGCCTCCACCACAGTCAATGCTCTGCTCGTGTTTCACAGTGAACTGGATGATTAGAGGCTCGCCCTGGTTGTTGAAGTCATCAAAACGGGATGACATGGCGTAGAAGCGGGCGTCCTGGCTTGTCTGAAGACCTGGGGAGAAAAGCAAAAAAAGTTACTGCCATGTATCTGTATTAAGGGAAGATCTAACATTAAGTATAATTTAAAATGTGTAAACTCTTCTTAAGTTGTACAGCAGAGAGACGCCCTGGTGTGGCGATGTTATGTGGAGGCAAACACTGGAGCTGCTCCAGAGTTAATAATGGAAAAACTCTGAGACTCTGACAACACCCATGGTGATTTCACTGGGCGCGTTTTCAGATTCATAGCTAGCAGCCCTACAATCAGAGTAATGTTATTTAGGTAGAATATCTCAAACAATAACGATATATGAGCCCACAGACTCAGTCACCACTTTCATCTGAATTCCAGTGGAACTTTAAAAAGTGTCACACTAATCTCCACATCAAGCGAGAGAGACAAGACATTATGACTAAAAAAGTTTTTCTTAGACAAAAATCAACATATTTTATTTATCAAATTATAGAATCCTGGAGTTTGGGTATAAACTGCAGAATAAAGCACATTTCATTTTGTGTTGTATTTGTGTTGCGATGTGAAACTGATTTCTTTGCGCCTTGTTACCACGATTGATATCGCAATTCATTTTTCATCTCACCAATTTAAATCTTCACATTTTTATATTGCGATTTAACCGTCTGTAAATATCTTTACATTCAGTGTAACTTCTGTCTGATGGATCTCACCTCTGTATTGTGCCACTAGCAAAAGTCACATGAATTAACCGATTAAGACAAATGGTCGTCTGAATGCTAAAGAACACAATCAAAACTTAAGTTAATCCCAAAGAACCATATAATAAAGTCTCAGTCAAATCTCCCACTAAACCTCCTCAAAACAGGCCACAGACAAACAGAGGATACACACCCATACTCTTAAAACACAGTTTAACACCCAAAACAATGTGGGCGTTGACCACAGATCCACAGTGGGTGGGTACAATTTAACCTTTCCACTCACCTTTGTCTTTCTCTGCATCTCCATAGAACTTCCCTGCAGTCAGGACAAACATGCCGTAGTCCGACTTGTGCTTGGATTCCACCCAGCGACTCTTCCAGGCATCTGCACAAACAAGTATAGGTTCAGCTGCACAGCAGTCACTCACAAGCTGCTAATCCACCACTTATGATGCATCAGTGCAGGTGCACTGGGGGTGAGTTACGCTGCAGGGGCACGCTTTATGTGGCTGCCTGCACTAACTACATGGTGTTTGTTAAGAGGCCGGTGGTGACGGAACGAGACAGCTGAAGGTAAAGAGGGGTGAACAGTGAATGGCCAGGGGAGAGATGTGCAGTAGGGGGATGGGGAGACAGACAGGGTTTGATGATAGCTGGGGGGGGAGGAGAGGAAGGGAGGGGAGAGGAGGGGGTCAAAAGATGAATGGTCCCCATGTAGAATAAATGCATCTCAAATAGCAGTAAGTAGACAATGCACCACAGGAGTGGAGGTAAAATTATAAGCTGTCAAGTCCAAAAATATATATATATTTATAATCATTCCAACCACCCAACATGAAGACCAGCCCCCGGTGACTGATTCAGTGCTATCTGATACATTTACAGTTTCAACAACTCACAGCAAACACACTTAAATTATAAAAAGGCATAATTTTGTGTAAAAGACCTCACCCCCATCTTCAAATTGTTCTCGGAAATACACAGTGGACTCAGCCAGTACAGATGCGACCGACACGGCCATCAAAAGCAGCGACAGGGCTGTCATGGTGACGAGCTGGAGCACCCTGCCAAATAAAAAAAATCAACCAACTAGGATTACAAATAAATCAAAATAATCTATCTACGCCGTGCAGGAGGCGTTGTTTGTCGGTGCAGTCTCTCATACAGTAATGTTACAGTGGAAAAACGCTGCCGCGGCTCTCCTCTCGCCTCGGAACAGATGTCTGAATCTGATTGGACGTCAGTTTCGATCCTCAATAAGGAAGCGTTATCCCTCTCGACCAATCGCAGGGGAGCAAATCTGGACGAATAATTGCTGTAGCCAATGGGAGCAGACCACGCGTTTGCTTGATACACGCCCAAGGAAGGGAGATGCGCCGTGGTGAATCATATACAGGGAAAGAACAAAATCACAATAAGGATGGACAGATCATTGTAAACTCCGGAATATTAGGTTTGTTTAATGTAACTGAAGACAAACCAAATGAAATAATTTGATAAATGAAAAACTAATTTGTTAATTTTTAGATTGTTTTGACGTCAATTTTTTTTAAATTACAATTTGTCTTTTTTCTACGAACAATTCAACTAAATACTTAATGTCTTAAAATAAAACCTATTGGTTTCTGAAAAATTCAGAATCTATGAATATGCAAATATTGTTCATTTCAAAAGTTTAACTAGATGCATTCTGTAAGTTGCATATTGGACCAGGGCTGGCTTGTTGTGGGGCTAGTTGTGATGTCAAAAATTGTGTTTTTGTTCTCCTGTTAAACTCAGATTTTAAGTCAGTATAGATGAATGTGAAAACAGCCTTCCATTTCAACTCTGCACATACACCATTCTGTGCACTGGAGCTCAAACATAAGTGAGGTAACAAAAGGCAAAATGTAAAATGCCTACAACATTGTCTCAAGTGGCCGTGTTTAGATTTTTTTGTATTGTCCAACCAACACTTCAAAGTCTAAAGGTTTACTACAAATGTTATTGTTTATGTTTATGTATGTGTTTTATATATAGTTTATGTCTCTTTAGTTGAGCTATTTGTGCTGTTTATTTACGCTATTCTGTGTATGTACATTGGAGTCAAATAGCTTGTATGTGTACACATACCTGGCCAATAAAAGTGTTTCTGATTCTGCTGTGCCTCCACTATTTAAAGAAATAACAGGCATCTCTCATGCAACACCAAATTGATATTACTTGAATTTTTTGACAAATGATTGCATTAAATAAAAACAACTTTTGTTGGTTTATTGTGGATGTTTATTTTCTTAAAACCATTTCTTCTCACTTTCTTCTTGTGATGAAACCCTGAGCTTTAGAGAACACAATCACTAAAGCAGACCAACTCAGACCTGTGTGAGAGTATGTGAACAGGAATGCTTGAATGATAGAGATCAAAGCAAGTCAGTGAATAGATGAAATGCATTTGTTATGCCCCAAATTAAAAGCAGTATATTATGTAATGATGGTGATAGACATTTATCAGGTTCATATGAAAGAATCAAATCAAACAATAAAAAATAAATTATAAAAGCACTGTCATTAAACATATTTACACATAAAAGCTAACTTTCAAATAGATTCATTGCTTCTGACACGTTTCCAGTAACTATTTCAAGTAACATTTGCATCACAGCACCATGTATGTTAGCTGTTACACACTCCCTACCGTTCACACCACAGCGCCATTTAATATTTACTCATGGCTTACAGTACCACCAAATGTGCATTCATACAACTCCACAAAAACAATCGGGCACAGTAAGATGTTCAAATATGGCACAAGTAAATAATCAGTGCTAATATATGTCTGACATGCAAATATTGACATAAAAAACAGACTTAGACCAAGATGAACAGACATAAATAGTCTGACAAAAAAAAATCAGTATTCCTCTATGACATACACTGCACAACCACTAATACCATCTTCTTCACGCTGTGAGGATTCAAAGCAGGCAGGTGAGGAAGAGCAGCCACACTGCACATGATGACTGTCTGTCTCTACTCATGTCTGCAGGGTGGGTCGTGCCGCTTTCCTCTCTCACACTGGATCTGCCCTGCTGCCTGGCCTTCTCTGAGGGACCTGGACAGATACGTGTTGTATCTGCGGGGGTGGGTGGGGTTGGGAGTACATAGAGCAGTGCAGAGCAGAGAAGATCTCCTCTATGGCTCTGTACGCAGATGGGCTGGTAAAGCAATCTCACACCTCCTCCTCCAGGTCTCTCTGTCCGTCCGTCTCTCCTTCTAGGGGAGAAAGAAGTTGATCCGCTGGGGTATGGACTTGCATCCCTGGGCTGAGAACAGTCTCTCCTCTTTTGGGACGTACAGCATCGCCTTGGCCACCTCATCCAGCGTAGCTTCATCCGTCTCCAGACCTCGTGCTGCATAGGCGTCCCGTGCACACAGCTTGACATGGCGGTACTCCAGAGGCAGGAACGGCACAAAGAAGTCGATCAAGTGACCTGACATCAGCTCACTCTGAGCAAACCCACCTGAAGAAGAGAACAACGCAAAACACTCCAATCAATGTTTTGAATTATGATAGAAAAGACTGGCTTTAATGTGAGAGCAAGCACTGCAGCATACCTTGAGACTCCATAGTTTCAGCTCTTAGCCGATGCTCCAGGTCTTCCATACCGATGTCCTCTCGATTTTGACCAGAGTGCCAGAAGTCCAGCGCTACATCATTGATTGTTGCTCCACCAATATTACTGCAGAGACAACACGTCAGTCCAAAGTAGTGGAAGGAAAGTTAATGTATTTTGTTAAACATAGATTGTGCTTGGGACAAATGTTCACAGATTAGTGATCTGAACAAATTAGAGAACTTTATTTAAAAATCTATATATCTATTTATAAATCTATTTTAACATGATTATTCAGCATGTGGTTTTGTATGTCTTTGTACCATTCTCTGTCTGAGCTCTGGTAGTTAACAGCTATGTTCCTCCAAGTAGCTTTAAATGTACTCCTGGTTTTGTTAGATCTGGGGAAAACTTTAATTTCTTACTATGCATCTTGGGCATGGTATAATCTTCAAAAAGATCTATAATATAAAAACAAATTTATACCAATTTATGAATTTCAGGGCATCATAAAGAAGGTGGTGATGGAGGCATGTGGTTGTTTTTCTTAAGTGTCAGAAGAGTTGTTCTTATGTTTTATTGTAGATTTTTGTATATTATGTTGTATTTTAATATGTTGTGAATGTGTATGGCTGCTAGCTTGGCCAGGTCTCTCTTGTAAAAGAGATTTTGATCTCAATTGGACTTTCTGTTAAAAAAATAAAAAATAAAAAATGTTACCATAGTTTCTTATAGTAGTGTCTCCTACATCATATAATTTCAACATAAGGGTGAAAAATGCGTCTCTATATTTGACTGAACAGATTATCTGTCTACAGAAATGAGGCATGAGTAACTGAAAACATGAAAAATCCATAAAGAGGACTAATGGAGACAGAAGGAGAAACATCCTTCATTACAGATGAGCTGTCAGAATACCTGGGCCAGAGGGGCAATACACTCTGAGTCTGTCCGACCCAGCTTCAGCAGACAGGACGTGCCCGATATATAAAACCAACCTGAGGAAGAGGAAGATGGCTCTGCGGTAGCTGACGCCATCTACGTTGTCATAGTGATCCATGAAGGGTTTGATGGCATCGATGAGGCCTGGGTGAAGCTTCTCAGCCTCGTCAAAGATGAACAGAGTCTGCGGGCAGCGCAACACCATGTCCCGGATCGCCTCTCTCAGCTGGCCCTGCATGCAGAGAGAAAGACCAAAAATGACTAAAATCTCTAAGAGCCACAAAGGAAAATGAAAACAAAATTGACTCTGTTAAGGTTTTGAGTCTGGTTTAACAATGTCAAGTGAAATTAAAGTTTCAGAAAGATATTAAAGTCATTTATAGCTTCTGTAGAAAAGAATGTGCTCGAAAACCTTCATGTATTTTAATTCTGCTACTTCTTGAACTGACTTAAACTAAATCTCATTTAAAGGGAAGAACTTATCAACGTCTGGAGCAGAAACATTCAGAATTCAGTCCAGATTCTGCAAAATTAGTTTAAAGGTTATCTTGTGTGCTATATCCTGTTACATCTGGATCCATTTGTGTAATAATGCTGTGTCAACATTATTTTGAAATCTAATGCAATGATTGTGTAAAAATGTTGTTTAGATGGGCCCACATTGGCACCTGTCACCTGGTTGGACAAATGCCAGGTTCCAAAAAGACGTGGATGTCAGTACTCGTCGGATCAATATTTGATTTGAACCATCTGTCCAAACCGTGATCGTTATCATTCATACGCTGAATTACAACACACTAAACAACTGACTAAGCCAGCGGGGGTCCCAGCAACACTGCCAAGATGTTTCTGGCACAGAGCGTCCAACTCTGTGCCGAGAGGGCCCCTGCACGTCTTACCTTGTACGTGTCCACCAGTCTGGCGTGGGGGAAGTGGAACGGGGCGATGAACAGTCGGACACACTCACTCTTCACCCCGTCACGATACAGGTTATCAGCGATGATCCGGGCCACAAAGTTCTTTCCGGTGCCGGACCAGCCGTGGAAGGAGAGTGTCAGTGGCTTGTTGGACTCTGGGTTGTTGATAAAACCCTGGATGGCTTTCAGAACCACAGACTGAACCAGGTGCTGCCCGTGGAGCTTGGTCTGAAGGTCCGTCGACAGACCTGCACAGAACAGAGAGCATGCTCAACAACGGCAGCATCAGATACAGAATAATCCCTGAATACCCATAATCTTTTACAGTATATATGAATGAGTCTATGTGTATGTGATGCACCAGCTATTAATGCAGGCCCTTTAGGTCTCAGGTGGACAGATGTAGAGGATTTACCTATGATATAAACCTGGTGTCATTTGCACAATCTTGCAATCCTTATCACATGCAGTAGTTTGTTGCAGGAGCTCCTGAAATGATATTTAAGTTGAGAAGCTCTACAAGGCTCCTAACATCTCTTGGCATGTTACTGCAGTCAAGCAGAGATATTCAATGTTTTGTGACTAGGTCTGATATTAAATAGCAAAGGGAAATAAAGAAAGAGTGTTTAACTGTGCACCTAATGAAAGGTTAACAAATGGAAATAAAGCTAGCTGACTCTTTATAGGTGCAACTACCACAGGCCGGTGCATTTTAATGCTAAAATAAGTACATAATAAAGTGTAGAGAAACCCTGAACTACACGTCAGTATCAGTCTGACCTTGTGTACAATATTAAAATACTTTTCTGTATGATGTGACACGTATTCACGTCAGAAGGAACATTTTATAATTGTTTATTGCCATTGAACGCAGTAAACCTGCTGCTATCTGCCCTCTCTAGTGCATGCAGAGCAAAAGTAAGACTGTTAAAGGAACTTTTATGACTGATTTCATTGTTATAACCACTTTCTTAAGCTGCCTCTGTTTGACTGAACACAGATGGCGAGCTGTGAATGTATAACTAGAATAAAAACAGACCATCAGGCAACACACACACACACACACACACACACACTGAATTAAAGGAGAATAATGTGTTACAGTGACACTCATCACACAGGCACATGGGCCGTATAAGCAGACAGCTGTAGTGTGATTACCTGTGATGTTGTTGGTTATCCTGCAGTCTCCAGATTCACAGCACTGGCCCAGACTACAGTACCACTGATGCAGCAGGCTAACGTAGTCCTGAGGAAAACCTGCCCAAAGGTCCCTGGTAGGAACTGCTCACATGAACAGGAACACAAGCAGTCAGCTTCTACAACACCGCTGTAACCACTGAGTAATTTAACACACCACTGGGTCAAGATAGTCAATAAGGAGGAAATGGAGGAAGTGTGACAGCCATAATGGACAGCCTACACGTTGAGGTAAATCTAAGTATTACATAACAATAGCTTCCCTCTCGGTCTCTTACCTTGCTGTGTAGCATCGTCTTGGTTGGGCTGACAATCCCCCTCCCATATATTGCAATAAATGTAATTAAAATAGTAAGTGGAGACATTGGAGATGCTGTCGAACTGGAAGAAGTTTGCCTCCGCGGACAGAGCCCAGAGGACGGGCAGCAACCACCGCACAGACATCGGTGAACGGGCTGGTCCGAGGCCGTCGAAACGAGACTGAACACCGCGTCCAGATCTCTCTCTCTCCCATTTATTTAAACCTGGCCGTGTGCTGGCGGCCCGCTCAGTGTGGGATATTTACCCATCTCCCCCATCGTAGCCGAGGAGAGGCGCTTGCTTTTGTTTAATGAGCAGACGGGCGGGTTGCAGTCACTTAGCTCCGCCCGTCCCTAAACAGGGTTAATACTTCCACCCGCGTTCCTGTATCCATTGAGCTACAGTACACTTATTGAATGGAAGAATATTTAAGTACTGGCCCACAACAGGAAGGTTTATTGAGCACTGTAGCCGCCCGTCTGACGAGACCAGGGATATAAAACAAAGCCACCTTTCGCTTCTATCGCGAGATGTCGAGCTGGAAGTGTGGTAACTACGTAGCTTCCGGTGAGGACTTTAGTATACATTTATACTTTAAGATTCATTTTAATTTACTTCTATCATGTTCTCATTCCAACATGTTTATTACTGGCAAATAGTTTCACTGCCAGCTGATTGACAAAGACAGCAAATATTTACTGGTTGCATAATTCCCCTCCAAAGACACATCAGGCACAATATTTCTTTTCAGTATTTATTGACAATGTTGTACAATATTGACACTGTTCTTCTTGGGTTGTCCACAGGCTCTCAGGTCTGCTTCCAAACAGCACATCACTTGACTTTAAGGTCAGGCTTCCTCTCAGGGCCAGAGGGCTTCACAGCTGCATCCTTAAAGGAAAAACATTTCTCATTAAAAAAACCAAAAACTCAAGAGGGGGGGAACATATCAGGACACGAGTGTTTACTGACCACGATCTCAGAAAATATGGAACGGTAAGGGTTATAATCAATGGAAATCATTTGGCAGAATCTTTTCATCACAGAAAGTGGCCAATGTAATCTTGTTTTCTGGCACCCACAGAACTATTTCTATCAGAACTATTAATGCCAACCAATAGAACTGAACATGGGCACTTGTGGCTCGTTAAAGACTTTATAATGCTTACCAAGATCAGTGTGTGAGATCAGGCTCCTTCCTGGAGATTGGAAAGAAACAATCTTATTACACATCAGTGACTGGTTCATTGAGACTGAACTCACTGGGTTTCTCAGTAACATGTTTTCCACATTGAAATTCAGGTCAGACATTTGTTAAGTACATCACTGAACCCATGACAGCCATTTTGAATAGAGTATTTGCATGCTCACCTCAGTTGATCTTGTATCTTCCTTCTAAACCAGCAGCCAAGTGAACAGGCATCACCTGAAGAGACAGGACAGCATAAGTTTAATATGAAAACAAACTGCAGGATGAACAGTTAGTCACTGACCAGGTTCAGTTAGAGCTAATATACACATGACTCCATGGTTTATTGTCAGTCTGTACTATGTCATCACACAGGTCAGTCTACAGGGATCAAAGGGTTTACTACAACAGCAACCCCGATCCAACTAATGTACATGTGCAGCGCTTCAGGCCCAGATGAAGTAGAGTTTGGGGACAAATGCTGTGAGTTTAGAGATTAATCCTTCAATGAAAGATTCCCCATTTTGAGGGCTTAGATCTCAACAAGGCAGCAAACTAGTCATCTGGGCCTGAAGTGCTTTAAATATCATTTAAATACTCACCATGCTAGTGTGACATCTTGTGCTCTGACCACCACAATCCCAGCTGCTCTGCAAAGATGGAATAGTTGAATGTGAATTAAGCTAAACAGGGTTGCAGTTATTTCTTATAAACCATCCAGATCAGAATAAATGACTAATTTCTTCAACTGGATCAGTGACCTGATTCAAATGCATCATTTCTGAATGATATTAACTGCACAGACCCAATATTAGACATTACTTACCACAATGTGATAGTTCTTGACAGCAAGGTTTCATGTCTGTGGATGAGAAGACATTTGTCATCATACCGCTTTAAACACTTGAAGGCTAAAAGATAGTTATAGTTGACACATCAGCTAGGAGCGAAAGACAAGCAAATATTCTTCATGGTTTAATCCGCTGAACTATGGGATCATCATTGTATCAGACCATGTTAAAGATGTTTAAAGCACAAAAGTCAACTCACCTGTAACTGATCCAATCATCTGAACCAGATCAACGAACGTGAGCACCATCTACAAGTCAAACAGTACACATTAGAAACTACAAACTAAAGATATATGCAGGCGTTTCTTAATTTGCACTGCATCAGTTTAAAGTCCTCTTTCATTCTTTTTCAGAGAGATTCCCATTGTGTTTTAAACAAGCTCATCATTGACAGTTTGAGAAACTAGGTAAAGTTGAATTAAAGTGGGCCATTACCTGCTCTAGTGTTGTTCAAAAGTCTGGCAACTGAAGTGCACCTGCAGGAACACAATATAAAATGAGAAATCAAACACAATAATCTTACACTTGCAAAGCATAAAGTTCTGTGCCTCAGACGGGTCAACTGGTGGGTTGTCTGTATCGTCATCCATCTTGTCAAGAGTAGCAAATAAGAGTCATCATAGCAGCACAGGACAATGTGCAGGATAAAGACTGATGCTTCTCTGGATGTTCACCATGTGCACCGCAAATGGTAAAAGGCGACATGTCTGCTTGGCATTTTATACATTACTTTCCATTGACAGTAAAGGTCATTTTATGGGCAGTCTTAAAGCCACATAGTAAAATAAATGACTGGGTTGAAAAGCTATATAAAGCCAGTTAAAAACTTAAACTAATCAAGGACATCTCAGAGAAGCATAATTCAAATCTGAACTGCCATGAGGTAAATCTGAGCCTCACCTCTCAGCGCCATCCGACTGCCTCATGTCTCTGGATTTTTTCCAGACCTGTGGAGAGTCATCTTTTAGTAACATTACCATACTGGTTCAACAGCAAATATAGCTTTAACTGGGAAGCCTCAGTGTTAAATGTCTCAGAAATCACATCTGTCCACTACTCTTATACATAAATCATCACTGACTTCCAGGAATGATAAACATAATTAAATGGATCTATATAGAAAGCAATGTACTCACCAGTGTAGTATTTGATGATGTTCAAAACATCGAGTCATCCTTTCCAACCTGAGGAAGAGGAAAGCACATTAGCTACACAGCTCTCACATGCGGTTTTTTTATTGAAACTAAAGCAAACTCACTAGGGCTGCACAATATGGCAGAATCCATTTAGGCTTCCTACAGATAATACTGTAGGATTCATTAGTGCTGGAAATACTATTTTGCATCCCCATTATTATATATATATATAGTTAAATATATATTACATTCTTGCTGAATGAGGATTAAATCAAGATGTGGAGCCATTGGGAGTTTGTACCAAACATTTTATCTTCTGTGATTTGGATATTGCACATGAAACAATTTTATTTTTATTTCAGTTAGTTGTGCAGCCCGATCCTTAATCCAACCTCAGTGAATCATTGCTTATAGAAGGATTTACTGTAATCAGGAAGCCTTTTGGTTCCTTACCATCTAATGTCAGCCTCCATTTTGCTGAGATCCAGTCCTCGGGCCTGCAAACAACAATCAGAAATATAAATTTTAAACTTGAGCAAACTAGTTTTAAAAGGATGCAACTTCTCTTTAGTTAGTTTGAACTATTGAATCACATTAAATGGCGCACACACCCAGCAGCTAACAGCACTGGAGCTGTGCAGATAACTTAAACGCTAATAACTTTAAAGCAGTTTCCCCATGAAATCAGAGGAGTTGGCGTTTCTTCACAGTATTCAGATGTCCCTACCAACATTTACTTCATCACAGTCATGGGGAAGAGCTGCAGTGAGATGGTAAAGCTCACTCAAAAGTAATAGTTAAGATTAGCTCGTTGGCTAATTAGCATTTTCTACATGCGCAATGAGACACGTGGTGGAGGCCTGCTGCTGCCAGCTCACATTAATCCCATCAAAACACATTTAATCCAACAAAATGCATTTAGATTCTTAAGGAAAGACATAAAGCCGACAGTAAACACTAGAGTCTTACAGCTAAGGACCAATAATCTTGCCAAAGTGAATAAGAACAAACAGCTTGAAGAAGAGAGGACATATTTACCTGCTGTACAGCCGAGGAGTGAGGACTAGCAGAGGGTGCAGCGCCCTTTTATACGCAATGTCGCAAAGGGTGATGGGAAAAATAATGCCGCGACATAGCGCCCCTGCTGGTCAGTGTCCTGAAATCCTGCATCATATCTAGAGAAATATTGATTTGCCCCAGCAGGGGGCAGCATTCAGTCTACAGAGGGCAGTGAAGAGCAGGAGGCAGTTCTCTCCAGCAGGGGGCAGTATGGGGGTGTTTAGAGAAGTTTCTTCCTTATTCTTTTACAAAATGAGCAGTTTGAGGTGTTAAATTTGTTTTATAAATGTTTCAAACATGTGTTGATCTTCTGTGTGGATCAGTTCTACAGAACCAGCTGTTAGAGGTCCAGTCAAGTGCTTCACATTGTCACACCTCAGTTCTGATGGATCTGAAGAACAGAAAACAGCTTCTCTTGATGGAGTACAGTACTGTGTAAATGAGGTGTGATGTAGTGCAAATATATTATTGCAGTCTGCACATTTGTGGAAAGCAACTGTATCACTGTGTTATTTTATGATATATTTCTTTATGTTTGGCCCTGAAAAGTATGAAGGTCAGAGAAAGTATTTTCTTAATAGCAAATGGGAAAATGAAGACTTCTGCCAAGAAAACAATTTAAGTTGATGGCAGTGGCTGAGACAAAAAATATCAGGATCTTGGACAGCAGCACCGTAAAGGGCTGGGGAAGATCATCAACAAATAATGATCTATTATGTTGATTATAATAAATGAAGTTACCCGGCAGGATATAAATTGCCTTTCCCAGCTGCAACATTAAGGTGATGCTTACATATGCATGCACTGATAATTATAATGATATGATATTTATTATTTTGAAATATTGCAGGACTTTTACTTGTACTAGAGTGTTTCTACACCTTGGTTTTGCTACTTAAGTAAAACTTTGAGCACTTCTTGCACCAGTGCTCGGCTGCTATAGTAGCACGCATTAAAGCCACTGACTAAGTCACTTATAGAGTGTTGAAGAACGTCTTCCTGATATAACAAATCAATAAACCATGTCTCTAATTTATGATCTAAGGAGGAATAAAAATACCTCAGATGCCATTTGTTTTTAACAAAGTTTTTTTTCATCTTCAGCTGAAACTGCACATCATTGGCTCCCAGATGGTTTGGCAGCTGCCTAACTGAAGGAATGAAACAGCAAAGATAGGGGGAATGCATGTTTTATTCCTACACATCAAAAATGCACAGATTAGGGCATCAGAGGGTCCGACAGTTGTGATAAATCAGTACGAGCAGCCAAATGTTGCAGGTTTACTCAGCAGCTAAAAAGTGGACAGTGGTGATTAGACAATACTGAATATTAGTTAAATAACCCTTAATAATATATTTAATCTTACATCATTAAATGGCTAGTTTATGGAGTTTAGACACTCTGTAGCACACGTGGTTCATTTCTTTTGGCATTATTTCTAACAGCAACTGAATGAGATGTTCACAACATGTTGAAATGTACTGTACAGTTTGGTTCTGCTGACATGTTGTATTTGTGTGTCTGTGCAGGTGTGAAGTATGTGCCCATCCCAGCTGACCCGGAACCATGCACTCAGTCCGCTCCAGGCCCTTTGGCCTAATCTTCAGACCTGACAACTCAAAGAGCAGTGGTTTCAACTCAGTGCCCCAGTTTAAAGATGAACTGTTGGTTTTAGTAATATCCTGTCCATTTAACAAATATAGCTGAGCTGAAACCACACACACCCTCAGCTTACTCACTGACTTTAACTTCTTTCTAGGATGCTTCAAAACAGTTCAGTGTTGATGTCTGTTTATTATTCTTCCACTTTAAAATAAATAATCAAAATGGAAAGAAAGAAACTTTTCTAACACTGATCCAAGAGCTGAGCTTCTTTTTTTCATTCATGTATTTATTTTTATTGGTAAAAACAACAACAAAGACTGTTGGAGTGCCGTCCTCCTGCAGCTGCAGACACACCAGCAGCCTCTTCTCTGCTGTAGTTGCTGATTTAACATTCGTACTTTGTTCCATTTTCACAGTTTATGACTTTTTCATGTAACTTTTGTTGTTTTTATTCTGTAACGGATGCGAGTTGAAATGTGGCAAAGTACTTGCCACCTGATATCAGACAGAATTATCAACTCGTTACACTCCATTGGGCATATTTGAAGGTCCTGTCCCAGGCAATCAATAAACAGGAAAATCTGATACAATCAATGGTTATGATCAAAATGAAATAAAAAATACATTTCGATTGCTCTCCATTAGGCGATACTGAGTGATACTGAAATGTATGGCAAGGCCTCTGTTCAATATAACGTACAAAGACACAACATGGAGGGGCAGAGACAGTAACAGCATCAAATTTAGCTTTCATTTGGTTTGTTTCTGAAGACATATTTATGTGCTTCAGAGGAGGATTAAATTCTACAACTGCAACCATCAAGATAAAGGTTTTCACTTGATGTGCATACGGCACCACAAATGTTTGTCTTCATCAGATTGATTAGTTTTAATATGCATTTAAATGAACCAGGTTACTTTCCACACAGGCCAAATATCTTGAACAGACAATAATCACATCTTGACCACAAAGATAACGAGGGACTCTGTTGTGAGCTCTCTAGAGCATTGAGAGATATTCTTGGGCATTTTCAGGTGAAAATTGTTTATTTCTGCATTTCATCCAAATATCATTGCATTTAGATCCAAACTATGTAGCTGTAAATAAGAGAATGAATGATGGTTCAAAGAAGCAGAGGTGTACAGTAGGATAAATATTGCCCTCAATATGGTTGTTATCTTGAAAAACATTGGACAAAAAAAAAAAAGGTTTACAAGAAAACTGAACTGGTAGAACACAGTCTGGACTCTAGCAGCACTATGAAACAGCAGCAGTGTTTCACAAGTCTACTCTGGTTCCTTGTTTTCACTCTCCTCACCCTCTGATCCACCCTGACATCTGTGGGTTTGGAGCAGAAACAAGGATGGGTGATGTGTGGAACAAAAGGGGAGACTTCACAAACTCAGTCCTAGCCACAGTCCTCATCATGGACCAGCGATCCATAAAGACAAAAATATGTAAACAATCATTTGTTCATAAAATGCCTTCAACATGGAAACATTTTCAGGATTGTTTGTTCTCTGTCCAGTTGAAAGCCCCTTCAGCCTTTTATCTGAACCTTTTTGGCATAATGGACATCCAGATGTGTCCTCTGACAGGCAATGTCAATGATCTCTATATTGCATATGTTCCATAAATCTGTCACAACTCTCCAAATCAATGTGTTCAGATACTATGGCTTATGTAGGGCTTTGCTTCTGGATAACACTTGAGACACAGAACAGTGTGAAGGAGCAAAATAGGTGGCAACGATAACTTGAAATGGGAACAAAACATCAAAAGGGTAAATGGAATGAAGATGTAAAGCCATCAAGTTCATATCCTCAAATATTTTACACTATTGCCAGAAAGAAAAAAAAATAAACAAAAAGAGCATTGAAAATAAAAAAAGAATATATATTTATATATCCATCATATGTATATCTATATATAAACAACAGTTACAACTAGTTGCAGGCAAGCGGAGAATTTCTCCCCCGCCCCTTTAAGATTAATCCGTTCCACCGTTATAAGGCTGTCAGACTCTCAGAGGGGGCAGCAGCTTTCTTTCCTCAGTCACCAGATTCCCTGAGATGTAGAGCGCCGTTTTACTTGTCAAGGTTTATTTGATTCTAACACCATCAACCACACACCCCTTGCCCGCCCCCCGTCCAAAAAAAAAAACAACCTTTGTGTAGGGAAACGAGTGCTGCTCTGGCTCGTCCTGTGGAGCTGACGAAGGGTGTGGCCGTGAAGCTGATGGACAGAGTTGTGAGACGCGACGACCCCTCGCGTCTCCACTCTGCGCTGCCGAGTCTCGTGTTGGCGGGTGGTGGGTATCGGTGGCGGTGGAAGTGAGGTTGCCCAAATAATGAGAGGAGCATTACTAATTTTCATGTTACATCTTAGATGCTTTTCCATTTGATTTCATTCATTTCCATATTGTTATTTTACAGTCAAATGCAAAGCTGTGTACATATTCAATCATCAGTCATTCCAAGGCTTGGAAAAGAAGTGGTTTTGCAAAAGAGTTCTTATGAAGACTCTGTTGTGTGTGCATTTCTTTATGCATATGTGTGTGTATCAGAGTGTGCGTAGTCTTCTCAGTGCCTCTGAGAGACTAATCTCTTTAATAGAGGCTCATCATAGACCCAGCACTCCCCGTCCTCGTGGAATAGCTGCAGAAACACACAGGCAATAAAAATGATTACACTCAAATATTTGAAATGACTATATTAGAGCTGAATCTAAAATGAATCTGCAAATGTACCTGACATTTCTAATCTCTTTGTCTTCCGGTGAAATAAAAAGGTTGGATCTGTTGCATTTCAAGTATGGAGTAAACCTTTTTTTTTTTTTTTTTTAAATCATGTTACACCATTCTGTTGTATTCAGTAATTTCACACAAAAACACAAATACATAGTGCTTTATAGGGCAAAAGATGCATCTTAATGTCTCAGCATTTTGCAGATAGTCTCACCCTGGTCTCCCACTGTTGCTCATTCTCCTTCCTCTCTCTGGCTTCAGCTCTCTGTTTCTCCTCCAGCCGGTGTTTGGCGTCTGTTGCTGAATCAATGTCTTTCAGCTTAAGGTTCAATGTCACATCTCTCCACAGTCTGGTGAATTGAAGGGGCGAGAGTTAAATACACAGACAGAGTTTGTTTCTTAGCGAAGGTCAGGGCTTGGAGACCACTTTAATTTCTTACCTTCGGGACTCGTAGTCGAGCTGGTCTTCCAGCTTTCTCACTTTCTTCTTAATGAGGCCCATCTTCTTAGTGTCTATGAACACTGTGTTCTCCTTGAAACACAAAAAACATACATTTATGTATTAATGTATTTGTTTATTGATCAACTATTTATTTTAGTAGTTATTTCCCAGTGCAATGAGGGTCTATATTAAAATTTTGATCCCTAATAAATAAGAAATGAGAAAGACTCACTCCAGTTGTCCACTTAGCATACATCACTCCGTTCCATTCTCCTTCAATGGAGCAGAAGGACTTCTTATCATTAGGTGGACTGAAAGAGAAATAGACAAGAATTGTGGTACATTTCATTAAAAAAAACAAAATAAAGGCCAGGGTCTTTTATCCATAATCAGTCTTTGAACTGTGATTTAAATTGTACTGTGCAACCATTTTCCTCTTACAAAATCTCAGCGGTGATCCTGTGCTTCTTTCCTCCGTAGAAGGGTTTGGTGTGGAACACGATGTTAGCACTGTAGCCCGACTTGGAGCAGGAGATGTTACACTCCCCACCCAGCTCCACCCACGGCACAGTAAGAATCGACCTGGACAGACGGGCTCAGGGTCAGTGACGCACATATTAATGAGCAGAGAGATGCAATTCAATGATGACACAAGAATGCAGTAACACACACCTGCCATATCCATTGGGGAAGGTGAGGATGTAATGTTCATCGTGCTCCAAACACGACACACAACCTAAAAGTAATTATTACAATAAGTCTATTACATGAAGTTGTGACATTAAAGTGTGTAAAAAGTCTGATTGTGGAGTGTATGAAGCAGCACTCTTGAGTACCTTGGCCAATATTGTGGACCCCTATGGACATGCCTAGAAACTTCGACTTAGTCCAGATATGAGCGTTGAACTGGATCTTCTTACTTAAACACTCTGCGTAGAATGCAGAAACTACAGAGAGAGGAGAGGGAAACATCTCAGTGATCCATAAAATGAAGCGAACAAGCAATAACGTCTCCACTAAAATACAATGACAAATGATCTAAATGATGAGTGGCTGCTGGTAACTTTCCAAAAATGATCCGTGTCTTAATCCTATGTGTCAAAAGGTTTTCACAATGCTGTGGAATCTCTCAGAAGAAGAAGGTTTGACACTCACTGGGTGGGTGGTGAGAGACCTGCTCTGCCACAAAACGCACACTGCTGGCTGAAGACCACGGAACTGGACCATCTGATACCGTCTCCTGCAGGGTGGAGGAGAGAAGAAGGGTCAGAATAGACGAGGGCTGGAGTTCCTCCATGTTACAAACATACAAAATAGTGACTATATAAACAATATTACAACGAAAGGTGTGGTGTGTGTCACGTGTTGGAAAAACAAAATAGAAATATACATATTGGGCAACCAGTTCAAGTTTGTTCAATTAAGTTTATTTGTATAACCAAATGCTGTTGTGGGCCTGTTAAAGGTGGGGTCAGTCCTTCTGTAGAGAGATGTAAAATAACTTAATATCTTTGTCCAGAATGACTGAACCAATCTTTCACAGGGCCACAACAGAATTTCAGCCAGTGACAGTTGAAGTGGTACCTTCTTCCTAATTAACTAAATATGACCTTTAGTACAGATGTGTAAAACTTGCGCTATGTGTAACACTAAAAGCTTGTGTACATGGTCCCTAGTAGTCAAGAACCAGCTAGGGCTGCAGAAGAATGTGGTCTCACCGTGTGTGGGGGAGGCTCCTCTATTTCACAGGGCAGATCCCAGTGGCAGTAGAAGACTTCTCCCAGGATTGGATTATATGGTTTCTTGGCCACTGAACCCTTCCGCCCTGCATGGAAAGCTGACAGGTACCACTTCACCACGTGCACCATGCGCTCCCGGGGCTCTGGCTGCTCAGCGATACTAGTGGAAGTCAAATAAATGAGTTAAACTACTTTATGTTTGATCATTTCTGTGGTATATATTTAAATAGCTGTGTGATACAATAGCTTGCATCAATGAAAGAGATGACCATTACCTTACAAATAAGTCGGGATGTGCAAAGAAGTCTGCGTACATTTCTAACAAAGATCTCCTTTCTAAGATGAAGGTAGGCAGCACCACCTGTGAAAAATAATGAAGGAGACAAACTGTAAAACTGTAGCAGAGCGGGTTGTTCAAAAGAAACAGCTTGCACAGATGATGTTAGTGAGTAAAAAAGGACCACCGCAGTGGGGGAAATTCAGACGGAACAAAGAGAAACACTTCCAGCATGGAGGCAGCCAGGCTCATAACTAAGCCTGCTGGTCAGGGGTCTTTACCTTCGTGAGGTCCATGCCCAAACGAACTTGAGAGAGAAGATGCATGATGACGCTCTTGTGCTCCTCCACAGACTCTCCCTCACCGTCATCATCACGGTCGTCATGGCTATCAAATGGGTCTGAAGACAACAGCAGAGGACAGGTCTCACACGGCTGTAATAACATTCAGTTCCCCGCCTGTTCGTGTGTACAACATTACCCATCTTTTACCATCTGATTAAATCAACTGTTATTAACGATCTCCTACTCCAGCAGACAAGATGTCCAGCTTTGTGTTAACGCATGAAAAAGTACAAAAACAGTTGGGGGACATGACACATTTGTGTGTCTAACATGATTTCCCTTTTTACCTGCATCTGTGGTGCCATTGGACATGGACGAGTTGAGGGACTCGGTGGTGTCTGGTCGTTTTAACGCTGTTTCTTCATTAGTGAGAGGCAAGGCAGCTGGAGGCCCTGAGGGACTGAGGGAAAGAGGAGGAGATGGAGGGCGTGGAGGCAGGAAGCAGGAAGCAGGAGAGATAAGGAGATAAAGAATGAGTAGGATTTCACAGACAGTGTTGCTGCAAACTTCTCTGACTTTTCCCAGCATTTTCCCACCTGACCTGATAAACGCTATAACTACAGTGTTGCTCTCAAGCTGTGAAGCAACAGATTCACTGTATGCAGTGTTGGTCACAGGAAGGCAGGGTGCTACTATACTCACTCTATGCAGTGTTTGGGGGAGGTGCTGCTCTGGTAGAACTCGTCAGCATCGTAGAACTCATCCTCGCTGGAGGAATAGGAGAAGTCTGGCACAGAGTGCGAGGGGATGGGGATGTGAGCTGGGGAGGCGACGCCGCTGCTGGGGCCTGATGGGCCACTCCCTGACAAGAGGGGGAAAAAAAAGAAAATCTAATTTTACTTTTCATGTTATGGATCTAAATAATAATATTTATACAGTATACCGGCCACAGTCAAATCTACATGATGTTGTTCAACTGGAGCACTCATTTCTGACCCTGGTCCAGCAGGGCGTGTGAAGTAACATTAAGCGGTCTTTAACATAGTGATGGCTTCCTCTGCAGAGGATATTGACAGTGCTCTCGAGAATGCAGCCTTTCTCCTTATTGCACAGCGCAGCATTTTAATCCTGCTGCCTCAGCACTGAAGACAAACAGGCATGAACCTCTGCTTTCCCTTGTTTTTGTGCTTGGTGTTTTTATTTACGCAGTGTTCATGGACACAGCACCCTGGGTTGGAGAGGTACAGTAAGAACTAATGTAATTATTACTGTTGCTCTTGTGGTTGAGTTCTTCTTAAATTTGCTTCATGCGGCTTGCAAATTAAAGGAGCTAACAGGCTCTATTAAAACTTCTAATATAAATAGGAACATTTTTGAGTACCTACAAAAAGTCAAGACAAAATAGCAGTTAAAACAATCTCACTTCCTCCTCATATGATACATTTAAAGGCTCCAGAACAGGTACTAAATGGACCGTGGTGATTTTTTTGCGAGCTGCTGATTCCACAGTCCCAATAATGAACTCTGAACCTTATATATTTAAGCCACCATGGAGAGAAATCCTTGATGTGCTTGGTAAAAAAAAAAACCCAGAAATTTGAGAATTCCATTAATTTAATTCCATCTGCTAATGAAGATCATGTGATATGATTGAAAGCACCAGAACAGCTACTAAATTAATCTTGAGTTGGGACAAAATATGTTTTGTATGTTTGTAAAATATATTGAGTATGCTTCTGGGGAACTGTACCAAAGCACCAAACCAGGAAAATAACTCTTCTGGTAATCAATAGAGGGATGTGTAACTCAAAATCAATCCCTAAAACAAAAAACTCTTTCTTCCTTGTCATGACATAGCTCCCCAGTGCTGTGCTGTCATTGGCTGCAGACCGTAGTGAACTTTTCACCTGTGCTGTTGGGAGTTGGGGTCTGCAGACTGCCCATCACCGTGACGACGGGACCAACGGCTAACGTGGAGGGTCGTTGGTCTGATTTACACACCTGAGAAGCGTCTTTAGAAAGCAAGAGACAGTAGATGAGTTAGCAGTGAAGCCTCAAAATGAAGCCAAATCACATTAAAACAGCGTTGCAGCCCGAAATCGAGAAGGCTGAGAAAATGAGCTGAGACGCTGCAGACAGAGGCTTCGGCTGTGAGGGGGATTACACAGTCTATTAAGAGACCGAAATTAGAATGGCCTACTTTGCATGGCTGATTTCCACAGCATGGTCTAGTCATAGTCAGCTGACCAAAATAGACACTTTTTTTTGTCAGATCTTAGTTGTACAAATACATTTAGTTAATTATTTACTAACTAAAATGACTTAAAACATAATTGCACTGAAGGACTGGACTCTGCTTCAACACAGAACATCATTAATGAATTCATTTTCAGAGAGAATTATGTCTCAATAATGAAATATGAATCACATAAATACATGTAATAATAACTATAGCTGATATTATGCCACTGGACCCTGCAGTAGATCTTCAACAGGAACCTAACATGTATCAATTTACCTTCAAACACTGAAAAAACATTGAGTACATTCATCAAAACCCTGAATGATATCAATATTGTCATACTAGAACTTGCTAACTGTAACTGCCACTGTTCAATACCACACTGAAATATTAGAATATAAATGTTGTTCAGGGACAATATTACATTAGGGTGCTTGTTGATAAAATCTCCAAAGAAAAGGCATTTGTCTGCAAGAACTTCAGACAAGTCAGTGACAACATTAACTGTGTTGCAGATACGGGATCCATCAGCTGGTTTAAACAGCAGGGGGCGCTGTTGTCAGGCTCTCTGGACAATGTTGGATCTGTGAGGTCTCTACACAGACTTGTTGCCACACCAAGCACATGGGTCTAAATGTGTATAAGAAATGGTGAGAAGGCAGATGTCTAGAACCTGTGGGTAGTGTGGTCTGTGTTGGCATCGTGGTGTTGTCTACAGGAGTGTCCAGAGGGGGCTGGTAGATCCCATCCACTGGGTTGATGGTGCTCTGGAGGAGAATAAACAAAAACAACATTGCCATCAACAACAAAAACAGACACTTGCTGCAACAATAGCACACCCACGCCACTGCCTGCTTACTAATCTAAAATGTTCTTTAACAGACAATACTGTTTAATTCCAGTTTTAGCCTATAAATGACAGGAAAACATCAATTTGTTTTTGAATATCCACATACAACCAGACAAGCCGATTTGAACAACATCTATAACCAAACGTGCAGACATGCGAACCACAATGAAACACAATTTCCTTAAACATCCAGGTCAGCTCTCACCCTCAACAGGGCACCAACTTCACAGCCTTTGTATTGGTTATAGATGAGCTTAATGGTATACGTGCTCCACAACAAGAAATAAAATATGCACCACCGAACCCGGGAAGATCAATTTCTTTTCACTCCATTTCCTGTAAAGAATACCAATTCCAGGTTTCATTAACGCAATCAATATGAAACCACTGACACTGCTTGAAATCCAAACTCCAACAGTGGCTTTACACAATAACTAACAGCGACTCTTGAACTCTGAAGTCTTAAAAGGAGTTAATTAACTCCACTGGGCTGCAAACTAAATCTGTAACATGTTTAAACTCTCCGGCTCGTGATTTCCCCCGTGGTAAAAAAAAACAAAAACCTGCGGGGACATTCTTATTTGCGGTGACCTGCCCTCATCAGTGCCACCTTAACATCATGTGTCCATGCATTTGAATACAGGCATAAACACACACGGGCCCGCGCGCACATAAAAAGCAGCCTGTCAGCTCTGCGTAATGGGGTCACTGGCGCCGATGACCCGACTGGGAAGAACACCGACAACAACACGAGCTAAAGCAAAACCATATCGACCCTTATTCCCCCAACAACTTACCCTCAGGGCTCGTGGTGGCACGGACATTAGATCCAGCCAATGTGATGTGTGTAATATCCTATTACTCAAACCTGACCTGTAGCCTGTGAACTTTACAGCTTTTTTTCCTCTTGGTTTTGATTAAGTCATTTGAGATCAACAGGAACAGGCATGGTGAGTCAGAACATGACCCGACACAAGGCTGTAAGGGTGAAAATACAGTAACTGGCAAACACACCAAAGTTGCACTTGTTACATAAAAGATAATGACAACAGAGGAAGAAGAGCTGCGATGTAAAAATCTCTGAATTTTCCTCTAAATAGAAATTACTCTCAAATTTTTTTCACCCCATTTTTTTTGTGTCCAGATGTGTGCCACCAACAAAAAACATGTTATGATCAGAGGTAGAAATGTCCCAGAGAGAAGCTTGGTCTGATCTGAGCTTCGTTTGGCCTCCTGTTCACACATCTCTACCTTACCCTCCAGCATGCTGCCTCTGTTCCTTCCTTTCTACCTCCCCTTCGCACTACCCAATGCTTGCCTAGTCTACGTGCCTCCATGAAAGTAAGGCGAGAGCTACTAATTATAGCAAATTACACAAATATTGGTCTGTCATGGTGGGACCAGCCTGTGGCCTTGCAAGCGGAAGCTAAAGCAACAAGCTACAGCTAAAAACGGCTGTAAGCACTGTGTGATTGATTTTTTCTTTTTCTTTTTTTCCCAGTGAATGTAATATTAATGGAGCAGGTAGCTCTGGTAGCAGAGCAAACGTAAACCAATCACAGCACATACATTATTTTGACAGATAAATACTGAACAGGCTTCTTGTGTGCTCGGTTTTAATGGTTCCTGCACTTTACGACAATTCCCCCGGGGAGGTGCAAAGCTCGACAAGGTCAATCAAACATACTGCTTGTGTTTCAACTATTCTAATCTGAGGTCAGTCAGTGTATTTATCATTTGCTCCACATTACTGGCATACAGGCAACGTGACAGACTTTTAGACCTTCTAAAGCTGTAAAGATATGTTTAGCACATAGCTTATAAAAAACGTGCAGTTAGATGTGTAGACAGAGCTTATACGGTGCTATTTATACAACATAATACTGTACTTAATGACTGTGAGATTAAGTCAGATATAAGAGTAATGCAGGCCTTATAAGCTGTACGGCCCCCTATGAGGTTCTTGCTTCGAGGACCACACTGGAGGTTTTCTGTGTTAGTCCATTACCTACAAACCGCTCACATTACTTTACCTAACATTTTCCAAAGCAAATTGAAGGTTTTTGATTTTTTTTTAGCTTCCAGGTACCCACTTCATTTTGTTCACTGTAGGGTGGTCTCAGGTCTCAGCACACATGTTTAATTTGCCTTTCAGTCCTCACTTAGTCCATCTATCTCCCCCTTCCCTTTCTTTCCTCTCTTCCCAAACACCCCCTCAGCCTTTACTGTGGTAAAAAAAAAAAAAAAAACTTTATAGAGATATGAAACCCAGAATATAGTCCACTTTAGGGTTGTGTGATATGATATCTATATCATTTGACTATAGAAAAACGTATATCGTTTCATATTATGCTCTAAATGTGTGTCACTAATCACCCTCGTTTAGTCCGGAGTACATATGAGAACAATATATAAAGTTACTCTAAAACGACCGTTTTCACCAGCCCCCCCATCCACACACACACCGGCTTGTAACGCCTGTGTGTGTGTGTCTCTGTCTCTCCAGCGGTAACATTATGTTTTTATGAAGTCGCCCAAATAAATACGACTCGCGTTTTGGAGTTATCACCCGCGATTCCGTTTTCACAACAGCGGGTGAGCCTCGTCTGGTGTCTGTTGTTAATGAGTCGGTACTGAATGCTTTACCTGATCCGTGCTGGTAACATATGAACCGTGTCCACCTACCACATAACCTTTCTCTCTCTCTCAATGTGTTTCCGGACGTTAATATACCTTTAGCCCGATACCGATGTGGACGTCGGTTACCATGGCAACGAATTTTTTTTTTTAAATGTATGTCTTGTTTAATGAGTACATTTTATTTACTGAGTATATAATTTAAAATGTAACAAGAAATAGGCCTTTCCATGTGCTAATTTTATATAAACTATTTATTCATTGAATTTACAGAAACTGTGCTGTGTTGTGATATGTATCTTTATCTGGATATGAAATTACCTAACGTTATATATCGGGATATAACATTTTAATCATATCGCACAATCCTAGTCCACTTTTAAGTGGTGGTACCAGACTGCATAGGTGATTGTGAGCCAGGAATGTTAGGAAAAGTTTCCTTGGTTGTGTTCGAGGATGCGCCAACATCTGATTGAGAATTGGTGGCTGAAAGCACTGCATTCACAAGCCCTGCTGTTTCAAAGTCAAGTAACACACACTCATGGACATGTGTGAAAAGGATAATGTATGTTTAGTGACTGTTTGTTCCATTTAAAGGTTTATTGGTCGACGCCCACTCTTAAATCACAGAGGTCAGAGCTTCCTTAAGCAAGAGTCCCTGCCATGAGACTAAAATGTTATTTAAAATGAATAAGACTGGGACACATGGAAGGAAGTGTGCAAGTAGGAGACCAAATAACTGGTTCGAGACTGAAGCGATTACACAGATGGCTGACCATTATAGAGGATATCCTAGTGATGGAGAAGCTCACATATAGGCTAAAAGTGGTCAATGGATTATCAGTCTAATGCATGGTTTAATTCTTCAAGTTCATATTCACAACATACTAAAAGGAATGGAAAACCCCCGACTCCCTCGAAGATAAGAAATCAATCTAAAAACTGAGAGCAAATGCTTTGGAAAATAATTGTAAGTACATGTGATTTGTAGTTAAAACACACAAAACTCCCTGTATGACATGAAGACGGGACACCTGCAGAGCCAGCACAGTGCTCTCTGGATGGCTTTAGTGCTTGATGGTTCAATAAGCAGGCAGTGTGTACACGGTAAATCAATGGTGAATCAGTTGACTGTAATTAGTGGGTGAAGTGAAGTGCAACATTCTCTCATATACAGGCATGCAAACCCATGTATAGTGTACGTACACATACATATTCTGCAACAATGTGCATATTCAGTGTTAAAAAAGGACACACGTACACATTTTGTATCTTGATGAAGAAAAGAATAGTTCCCCACCACTGCTAAAAGAATTTAAATCTCAGATGAAATCAGGAAATTACAAACTTAATCAACAGGATAGTGGTGGCAGACATGAGGGAAAGAGCTAGAGATAGAGCTTATCTCCACATTAGACGGCATGCACTACAGAGATCTGATTTATCTGATTTTCTACAGTGGAGAGTAAATTAAGCAAGAAAAGAAAGTTAGCAGTTTGATTGATTTCAATTTTTGTCATGGACGGAGAATGTCAAACTTACTATAAGTCCGTTTGCGTGTTGCTGTTCGTTACTTTGGTCCTTAAAATTTTGAGAAGACAATGTTAGACTAGTTGTGTAGGAAGGTTGAAGAGTCATTTCATAAAGCATCCTGAGCATCTGGGATGTAGAGAGAGATCCATCCCTCTCATCACATGGAGCTTCATAATATTCACCAACTTGCCACATGCAGTAATCCTTTCATCACATGGTAAAACCCTGATTTCTGTCAGTATCATTAAGTACAGGATTGCTCAATCTGTAAAGTAATCTACATAATCACTTCAGCCACGAATAAGATTCTAGGAAATCTTATTCATGGGTGATAGTTGGGGAAAAAGAAAAAGCTAAAAGATTAACCTAACAATCACATGAAACTGAAATGATTGCTCCACTTCCTTTTCAAAGGGCTGAATGGAACATGTGATGAAACAAGTACTGGGCTACACCCTCATCAACCACCGACCCAGATAGCAACTGTAAGCAGGGAACTACCCCAGAGACACACAGGGGGTAACACACAGTGCACACACTGATGTGATCTCACAAGAACAAGGACTATGGTGAAGTTGCAGACCAAACGACAGAAACTGTGATGATGTGATGTTGTGTTTACCTTGGCAATTTGCAGCAGTACAATACAGTGCTTGATGGACTCTACCATGCTCTGAAAGGAAAAAAAAAAGACAGAAAAGGAATTCAATAACTAGGAACTGACTTGAAACTTAAAGACAGGAAGGAAAATGTGTTAAGTTCTGACTTACACAAGTAGTCTCTTTCAAATTTTCAATTTTCTGTAAAAAGGAAAAGAAATCAACCTGTAAAATCCAACAGCAAATACAAAGTCCGAAGCAAACGCGCAGATGCAGCTGGTTTAACGGCAAATAAAGCACAACTAGGGAGAAACATCAATGTAATGATGTCATACTAACTGCAGCAGCCTTTTGTTCTTTGGAAATCTACAAGACTACTTCCCATACTGAAGAGACTGATGAAGTCAGAATGACAATAAAGTCAAAGTGACCAGAAGCCTGTATAAAGCTTAGGGAGGAAGTGAATCACACAGCTGCTGGTAAACAACTGAGACAACCTGAAACTGAACTGGATCCTCCAATAATACAAAACACTCCTTCACAAGATAATATTTTAAATAAATAAAAACAAAATCTGCCCTTGTGAAGTGAATGGTCTTAAAAATAAATGTAATTGTACAGTTGACTCCAAACCAATTATGATCTATAATAATAGTTTATTGGTTCTAACTACAGTCCCTCAGTTACATAGGTCTCTACTGCTTTACTACTGTCCGTCCTTTGGAGCTGCTACAATTATAACTAGGAAATTGTGTCCTGGCAGCGTGCATGGCTGCGTACTGAAATCGTGTAATTTCAGATAACCGAGATCTACGTGCTATAATTAAAAGAAATTAGTGTCGAATTTGTAATAATGGGATGGGGACAAGTTTTCCTAAGTATTGATTGTATAATAATCTATGTAGAGTGAAAATTGCGGGAGTAACAGCAAGTCTAAGACACATTTTTAATAAACACTTTACAACAGCACTCCCCTCTAGCACCATGTGACTCCACTCAAACCCAAAGCAATACACACACATTGAAAAAAACATAACTCAAAAAAGCATAGAACGTTAACTGCCATTGTGTGAAAACCATGATATAGCCAAATAAAGTGTCTTAGGACCTGTTAAAACTGTTAATCATTATTTCATGTATGGCAATGTAATTTGGTCTCAAAGTACCGCTTTGCTAGCATTTAAAATTAAATTACTTTCTCCATACAAATATGAGAAACAGGTCATAATTACAGTGAATCAATGCAATAACCTTTAAAAACATTCTGACATTTTAAAACTGACAAGTGACAGCTATCATTTTATCGTTCCTGAGCTCTGTGTGTCAGCCTGCTTCCCCTGCTGTTAGCCTCGGCTCTAATGACAGCGAGAACAGCCGACCGGAGAGCTGACACACAAGGACAGAGCGGCACTGCTGGTACTCACTCTGCGTGATTCATCCTCTTTGCAGTCCTTGATCTTCTCATCAAACAGCTGTGTGAGAGTGACAGAGAACAAGAGATGAAAAGGAAAAAAAGAGAGGTGGAATATGAGCAAAGATGCGTACACAGTCAGATTAGTATTAAAATGATCAGATATGTACAGATGATGTCGCTTGAGATAATGTGGCTAGCTCTTCTCACAGAGGAAGGACATTTGCAGTGCTTTCAATGAGGCTTTCTGCCTAAGAAAATATGCTGCTGCTTCTTTAAATACACTGTTTTCTGCTTTATCATCATGCTACCGCAGATCTTATTTTTAATAACTTCTGCTTTGTTAAACGAAACAGTGATATCAACAGACACAATAAGTGAAAGGTCACGACACAGATTCAAATGCAAGCCTTGCCATGTATAAGATTAATCTATAGATTAGTAGGTTGCAATTTCGACTAAATAATTTGTATGGAAATTCTTTCAAATGGAACATATTACCTCTGGATCTTTAGCCAAATATGCCACCTACATTTCTCAGATCTACAAGTGTAAAATATTCCAGATAAAATGCCGGTTAGGTGTTAATTTGTTGAGTCCTACCTTTAACTGGTCGATCAGAATCTGTAGGTAGGCGTCCGCTTCAGCTAGCTTCTTATCAAAGTCTTGAACACTCGGAACAAATCCTGTCTCAGCCTCCTGATGATGAGAAACACACAAACCTGAGCATCAGTGCAGCTCTAACCAAATCCATATCAAACCCAATGCAAGTATTTGCATATTCAAAATAAAATACACAGCCACTACCAATAAAATAAGCCACATATACACATATTATCCATTCATTAAAAATAGCTTGTCTCTGTCACCTCTTGGCCAGGTGAGCTTTGTAAACTGTTACACAAAATGGTGGACAGAAACATCAACAGTTCAGGAGAATCTTCCAGCAGCGTACTGTACTGGGGGAGATATGAATACTATTGTTTAAAGGCTAGCCTACATAAAAGGCCAGCAGGTCTGTCTGCCCGCCTGCCTGACTGGAGGCCAGCAAATTTCAGGCTTCAACAAAACTGAATCAAGGAACTCAAGGCTGGAGAGAATTTAACTACTGACAGAAAAGCATGTGTGTAAAAAGGCTGAGGTGCACTTAAATTCATTGTTTGTTAATTAGCTTGCCTTAATAGCCCCATCAGAATCACAGAAACACAGACTCCACACAAACACATAGGAACTCGGGCACAGACAATTTCATTACATAATATCCATTAAAAGGTAATTACTAGACTATTGGCAGGACAGACGTGACAGGGCATCTGTCTCTATCTGTCTGAGCTCAACCAAGCAAGAACCATCCGGTTGGCTGTGACACAGAACCAAAAACAGGAAAATTAGTAGATAAATCTCCCACAGGCGAGACTTCCTTGAAAAAACAAAACAAAAAAAAAAAACTACATATTTAATGCTGGAGCTTCTCAATGCCAAGGATACTCAGCACCAATGGCAACACAATAACCCCTCTACGTCAGGCCAAACGAATCAGTTAGATGACTAACACAGCGTGTGTCAGTGCAACTTACTGCTCAACAGCAGTTAGTCTGACATGGAAAAACACAGAACAGCACGTCTTTCATGAAAAAGAGTTATAGTAAAACTGATAATGACTGTTAGACTCAAACAAAAAACCTTGGTTAGTAAATCAATCTTATCAAACCGTGCTGAGTGCTACTGCTGCTTTGAATTTGCTGCGTCGCATAGTCCTGGTGTGTCCTGAGTTTGTGGGGGCTTTTCTTCCTGCTAAAGACGATCTCACAGGAATGTGAAGAAAAGCCATTAACAGCTAAACACTAAACACTGTTCGCAGCTTCCCCTGTCTGAGAGCTGCTAAAGTTTAAACTGCAAAAACATACTAGCTTTATAGAGAACAAAGTCTGGGTTAACTCAGCAGCCATGAAGCCTGCAGTTAAATGGCTAAACTTCCTCAAAAGGATCAAAGGTGATTTCACTGTGAACAACTGCTATAGCTGGCCACACGAGGGCCTGAGCAAAAAACAATTTTGATGCAGATGTGAATGTCATTCCAGTGCGAGCAACTTGCACTGCATGCTTACTTACATTACACTGGAAAATCACTCCAGTTTATAGAGAAAAGAGATGCTATGTTTTAGTTATACTTGAGGTTGCCAACTAAACACTGTTTTCAAAGCAATACCAAAACACCTACGGGTGCTTATGTAAATACAGGGTGTGGACTACCTTTATGAATCTTGTAATCTTCCAAATTTGTTTGGCATTCCACCTCTAGATATAGTGGGGATTAAATTAATCTGCACTTGCGTTATACTATTTACAAAATAACACCTTACAACATAATGCAACTAAATACAACAAAAAATAAGTGTAAAAAACCTGAAAGATTTTATTTAAAACCTTATATGCAACTAACAATTAGTATTTGCTACAGGGCTTATATTTTCAACTACATTCACTTGTACAGTTGTTATACAATGAATTACAACTGTCTATGTTTGCATAGGGCCTAAATACATGTGAACAGGAAAATGAAGAGGAAAGGACAGAAAAAAAAAAAAAGACAGAGCCCCTATCATTACGTAGTGAACAATAACTTATGTTTTGTCAACACACATAATGGAGGGAAGTGTTTTTTACAGACAGAGCCGATAAGTTTGGAAGCGGAAAGTCAGACGCAGGTGGTTGGTTTTCTTAAAACAGCCACTACACCACCACGTCATGGTGCTCACTTCGTCACCGTTCCTGAAATATTCCCAGACGTCTGCACCTCCACTCCCACTCATTCCCACCACACAGGCCGAGCATCTCTGTGTCTGTCTCTGTGTGTGTGTGTGACTGTGGCAATATTTTAGAGCAGCCTGCAAAGTCTCACACATTAACACTTACAAACTCACCCAGCCCCAAAACAACACACCATCCTCCCCCCTCCCTCCCGTTTCTATTTGTCTTTCCACGCAGTGTGACCCACTTTAAAATGCTGCTGCCCCAGCAGCGCACTGCAGCCGTTAAAGTTCTCCTTGCTATGGTGCAGTGGCGCCTGCATTTGTGTGTGTGTTTACTTACTGGGTGCCTTGCTCCAATGGACATGCTGCGTTAAACCTTGTACATCTCTCCTATCAGGACATTTAGCCTGACACAAGATCGTTTTCTCTTTCTCTTTCTCTTTCTCTGCCTCCGTTATTCTGTTTTTCTCTCCCTACAGCAACAAACCACCAGCTCTAGTGAAGTTAGCGTTCTTTCACCCTCCTCCCTCCTCCACACAGAAACAGAAAACAATCTCCTCTTGACGCTTGCTCTTCACTGCAGTCTGTCAATATAAGCTACAGCAGCCTTCAGACTGTGAGTTAGCTGTGCAGCCTGTCTGGCTACAGTATATCCTTCGACAGCAGTTATCAGCTGAGCGTTTGGTATGAAGGCAGACAGAGCTGAGTTAATCCAGGACCCTCCCCTGGCAGGAAAGGCACACTTCCTCTCACGCAGGCAGAAGAGAAAACACACAAAGCAGCAGCAAGTGCTGACAGCGACAAGCATTAACAGCCACTCTGATTGGCTGAGGCAGCAGAGGCAGATGTTTGGTTGATCAAGCAAGCAGGTACTGGATTGGATGCTGCTGGGTCACATGATGCTATGACAGCAGCGCGCTAACACTGCATAAGTGTGTGTATGTGTGTGTGCACCGAGCAAGCAGGCACACGTAGCACATCAGAAGGATTTGCCACAGAGGGAGGGAAGGCAGAAAAAAGGAAGGAGGGAGGGAGAGCAAATGAAAAGGTTGGTCATGAGGGTGAAAAGGAAGAGGAGATGGGTGGAAAGAGCTGGACGTAGATGATGATGAGAGGGGAACAAGGAGGAAGGTTTGGTTTAGGGAAGGGGAGCAGGAAATAAGGTTGGCCAGGAAAAGAACTAGAGGGCAAGACAAGCAGGAAAAAGAACAGACTGAGAGACACTCAGTCTCAACAATCATAAAAAACAGACACAAAATAAAGGGATGTAACAGGCTGCCAGCTGGTCAGCAGTAAATCAAAGTCTTTCCATAAAACTTAGCTTGGTACCGATTCTAGTCCAAAGCAGCCACATATTGCATAACATTCTCCATTTATGATGACATAAATGTCACCAATACTTCCAAGACTCATCATTGACTCTCAACTACTCTGTCGAGCAAAAAACTAAATCAGGTACGAGCCAGTCACAAAGTTGACCAGATCTGAGATGCAAAGTCCCTTTCAAGGTAGAAGAGGTAGATGATTTACAGAGTATGCAAACGTATGCAATCTGAGGTCCAATAAAAATCCCACAATCAAAAGTCTAGGTAACATATTTATCTCTTACTTCAGGGTTTCCAAAATAACTCACCACTCCTCTTTTAGACTATATCAATACCAGTATACTCTTCAGGTATTACAAACAACAGCATGTTTACTTAGGAAAACAGATGGTGAATTACTACATACACAGACACAGGAATTAGCATAAACAGGCAAACCAAGATCAAGGAGCCCCACAACAAAACAAAATTCTTGTAACTATAATTGATTGAATTAGAGACAAAGATGTATAACAAGACACACACTTACAACCTAACAAGTGCATTACATCAGTTTACATACCCGGAGTTGGAGGGTGTGGCGGAGGATAGTTCCCTCTAAGGCGTGGATCCACTTCTCCCGCTCGTCTGCATCTCGGGCTGAGGGCAGAAGGACACAGACACACCCAGTGAGCCACGTTTTCCATACAGACACCATCAGTAGTCATTACACTCGTGTTACACACTAATGGCACCAAGACACAACACTGAAATGACATGAGTACTGGTGACGCAGTGATGAAGCTGTGTATTCATCAAGAAATGATACACACAAAATCCAATTATAGAGAACAGTGTTGCCAACTTGGCGACTTTCTCGATAGATTTAGTGACTTTTCCGACCCTCTTAGCGACTGTATTTCTAAAAAGTGGCTAGCTACAAATTTAGTTGCTTATTCAGACCTTCAGGGAAAAGGCAAGGAGTATATTTAAACATGTTTTATTGTAATTCATTCCCATGCATGTTGCATGTCTCTTTTGTCAGGGTCTCTCTCTCTCCTCAGGCAGTCAGCAGGTATGGCAGGTGGGTCAGTTATGACCTTCTTTCTCTCTCTCTCTCTCTCTCTTTGTCTCCAGATCTCTGGATTAGGATGTCCCATAGCTCATATGTAAATAGTTAGTTTGAGCTTGCAAATATTTAAAATAGCTCATTTGATCTTCTCCCTCCCTTGTAGTTTTACTTTTTCACTTCAAAGATACTACGTCCCTGGAGAGAGTCTGTAATTATTTGGCTAAATAATAATAATAATAATTATAATAATAATAATACGGTAATAATAATAATAATGTTCAAAGTGTAAGTACATTTGCATTGCTGTATATTAATCAGAAACAGGTTTGCACTTGCATTGCAGTTGGAAATAAAAAGGACTCAACCATGACGGAAAGAAGAATGAAAACTCACTGTGGCCAAACACCTGTGGTGCTTTCAATGTCTGTTGTTCAGATATAAGTGCAGGTAACAACTAGCAGAACTTCTACGGTGGACCAGAATAAGTCAATGAAGTGATGCGAGTTACTGAAACAAAGTTATTAAAACTATATTCATTATGTAAAATGAAACAAAGAACTTCTGTTTGTGACAATGATTGTTAAGTCTGGGACAGTTGAAAGTAGAATTTGGGAAATTCAACAGGTAATAAAATCCCCTGCTTTCAGTTTTCACCTTAAGCTAACCACGTCCTGACTGTAGCTTCATATTTACCACACAGACATGAGAGTGATATTGATCTTCTCATCCAACTCTAAAGATTTAGCAGCTATTTAGCTGTACTAAACACATCTAAAAACAGTTGGCTTTCATATGATAAGATTTAATAATTAAATGTTTTATAAGTGTAAACTTCAATCAGAGATAAGGCTGTAACATGTATTTAAATGATTTAAGTCAAGCCGTATCTGATCATGTACATAGAAACTTTCTAACCATTTAGTTTTTTTGAGGGTTTGGGGTTTGTGTGTGAAATGGAGCTGGGTGAGGCTGCACCCTCAGAGCAAAGACAGAGAACAAACAGACTGCCAGTGACATTAAACAGTGACCTAATACAGGCCCTGATGCGTGCAACACACACACACACACACACACACACACACACACACACACACACACACACACACACACACACACACACACACACACACACACACACACACACACACACACACACACACACACACACACACACACACACACACACACACACACACACACACACACACACATTTCTCCTCTGCTAACACACAACTAGGATTGAATCCATCCAGTCAGGTTGTACCATAGATGCAAGTGTTGTATGTATTCACAGACTGTAGTGTCAAGTATTAAAGCATTTAGGTTATTGAATGGAAAGTAGCTTTACTTCTGCTTTACTGTATATGTGGACGATGGACACCACAGTCAACAAAACTATAACTCTAAAAGTTGTGAAAGAAGAACTTAATAAGATATATGCCACTGAATTACCTGGCAAACTATATCCTGTGTAAGAGTCATTTTTCATTGAGCTGGAAACAAGACAGCACAGCAGATGAATAGCTGTGCTAGCACAGAGGCTGAACAGTGCTACAGCAGAAAAGCTTTTAAAGACATTAAAAGGCAGCCGAAGCTCAGGCCAATCCACTCAGACAGCGCCTTGCTGCCCTCTTACTATCCCCTCAGCCAAACAGACTCTCCAGAGGAACAGATTACTGCGGCTAATGTTGTTTAGCTCTATTCATGACACAGGAGAGGTAGCAGCAGGGCCACTCAACCAAAACAAATACTTTAACTGTATGAACTGGAAGGCCAATCTTCGTCCTAGTCTGCGGTTCACATCACCATGACTTAAATTCCCAAGTACGTACAAGCAGTCAGTCAGCTCAGCTCAACAAATCAACAATGTTAGCCTGTCAGCCAGTAAGTTAGCCAGTCACATGAGGCAACACGCCACAAGTCATGACAGTGGCTGTCATCATGAACCTCGTTTGTATCTTTATCTGCAGACATACATATTCAAACAACCAGCAAGTTGTTTGTCCTTTAAATATTTACATACTTGTACATACAGAAAAAGGAGAGGAGGACAAGCCAAAGTCAGTTAGTGGTGCTAAGACTTGTAATCACAAGGTGCCCATATAAAACAGACTCAGGAAGAAGATATCTAGGATATCTTTTCATTTTCTCTATTGGGAGAAAAGAAATCAGGAGATTTTACTGGTTTCTGAGTTCACACAGTGAAAATACTTTCTAGTCCTTTACAGCGAAACGGGTTTAAAGGGCTTGTTATGTGCCGTTTTCCAGCAATTATCAAATTTAATTGTGGAACAAAAGGGGCAAACGTCTAAAAATCACAAAGTGCATTTTTCTCCTATAATTGAACACGCCTGACATTAACAAGACACTTTTTAGCTTTATGTTGCTGTTTCAACACTGTAAGAGTGTAACAGTCTTGCAGCCTAGCAACTAAACAGTGTCATAACAGAGGAAGGTGTGCTGGTGAAACCGTATTACTGCAGGCTCTGTTGTCTGCTAGAGCAGAGAAGCACAGCAAGACTATTAGGAGAACAAGCAGAAAGAGGAGATGCTGTACCTCACACCAATAAACTACAACCTCCACCGAGACATACACACCTTCCTAATAATTACAGACAGACCCTGGCAGATATTGGATCAAGATCCATTCAACATACAGAGCACAAATAACCAAATAGTTGCAAACTGAAATGCATGAAAATCAGATACTTGAATACTGATGGCAAATTAAACATTGAGGTTCCACATAAAGAGCCAATACAGAGCAGCAATCCAACTGCACTTTGGAAGTCACCTCCTATCCAGCATGGGGAACTAATACCATACATCTGCAATAGAGTGTGTATTGATGTTTTTTTCACATGATACAACCGCTTTCACCATCACTAAATGGCAAAACAAACCTGATACTGATGAGTAGAGTTGCCATATGTAGGAGGAAAACCAACAAATACATTAAAATATACTGCAAAGGTCATCAGAATCATACATCCATTTTTACTGAGAATATTTGAAAGGTAATCTAGAGTCACTTACCCCAAAAATAATCCAACTAAGCTAATAATTCACAAAACAATGTGACATACCTTACACAAAGCCTCAATTACACTCACGTAATACACGTTTTGCAACCAGGTTCGTCTCACTGAATTGTATTGATCCATTTGCTCCTCTTCTCTTTAGCCTTCGGAAGTCAGTAAAAACCTATGCATGAATTTTGCGTGTTTGCCACTCAGGAGGAAGTGACCAACTTCCACGTACAGTGATGTCATGTGAATGTCCTCTATTCTGTCTACCTGATTTTTCTCATGTTTGAGGTATTGTTTTCCTAATTTTGCCAAGATGGAAATAAGTGGAGTTAGAATGAACATGCAAGGCCCTGGCCA